ATTCTAAGTGCTGACCCAGAAGGGAAGGCTCTTTGTCACATGGGGACCAACGGCCTGCCCCACTAGCCCTGCCCTCCCAAGCAAGCTCTTACTGCAAGTCAGCAGTGTGGAAGACCAGGCTTCCCACGCCCATAAAAAGGGATCATCTCAGCAACTCACAAAGGCAGTTCCCTCTGCCTTGCCCCACAGGACCGCCCTGAGTTGGCACTGACTCAATGGCAGTGAGTTCGGATCTTGAGAACTGCCCACCTCAGCAGATAAGCAAACGCAAAGGTCACACATCTCCCCACATAACTCTGCCTTCCCAAATAGCTCAGTTCTCAGAAACGGGTGCCATTATAAACTTTGGGGCCGGAGGGAGGTGGGAGGGAGGTAGGAAGAAGAATCTCTAGTGGATGCTTAAGACTGAATCTCAGGGGATGCTTAAGATTGAACATTTGGTCTGGTTAAAGCTTAGAAACAAGCAGACATCATTTACGTATTCGCACCTGCCTTATCCATAATAGATTTTAGGGTGACTTCAAAAGCTGAGTATGGGCTGTTTATTTAACAAGGAAGTGGGGGATGGTCAGAGGAAGGAGAAGAAGGCTATAGGGGTGAGGGAAGGAGGGAAGGATTCAGAAAGAAGGGGGCAGGGGTGCAAGAGAGAAGGAACGGAGGGAGTGATAAGATCAGCCTTATGGCATCTTCCTTGGGTTGCTTAAATGACTTTATTAAAGTCAAATCACACTCATTCACTTCTCAGAATGGCAAGCTGGAAGTGGTTTCTGGAACAGCATTTGTCAGCATTCCCTTCTGATGACGAATGCCAAGTTCAGTTGTTTTCAATCCTGGAAACAGCGGAGTGCCTTGCATTTTATGATATCGGGTGACCTTGCATACAGCAGTCACCAGATGCTCACAATCAGAGGGGACAGGAGTTGTCTGTGAGGCCTGAGGGACAGAAGGAGGCCCTGCTGTCCAGCAGTGTCCTCACAGCCCTGCCTAAGATCCGCTCTCTCTGACCCTGGGCACAGCGCTTAGCTTCTCCAGGCTTCTGTTTCCCCAGCTGTCCGTGTAGGACTACATTCTCTCTCAACATTTTCAGAAGTGATTGAGGTTGACCAGCAAGATATCTTATATGAGTCCAACCCAAGTAGGGCAGGGTGGACGTAAGTCCTGGGGCTGGCTACATCAATGAGTGCCATGCCAAAGGTCCAGAGCAGATGCTATTCCAAGAGTGGGTGGCACTGACTGAGTGGCAGCAGTGAAGAGCCATGGACACTTAGTTGAAAGGCATCGAAAGATGAGAGGGAGGAAAGAGGTACCTTGCTTTTGGCCACACTGTCCATCAACACCTCTTATATCAGGAGCATAATAATAAATGTATGAGGGGGCCTGGCTTTAACATGCTACCGTAGTGTCCCTTGGTTTCCAACACCTAGCCAGTTACTGTGTGTGGTTGAGTAGGCTGGGCTCACACTACCAAGTGTGCCATCTACACCCAGGTCCAGCCAAGGTGCCCCTGGGAGCGAAGGAGCATTTTTGTTACTCTGCTGGCTTAGGTTAAGGTTACTGCTGGCCATCGGAGTGCCTTTGTTTGGCCTTTACAGTCATTTAAGACCTTAAAAATACAGATCTGAGACTTCTTTTGAAAAGTCAAAAGATCTACCACATTTCCTTGCAACTCAAAATTGATTGGGGCTGAGAAGCAGCTACTCCCTGTAGGGGTTGAGAGGCTACCGAACCCTCTATTCGCACCTCGTTGTCTTAACACAACCATGTTTGTTCATTGGCATTCTCTGACTGCTACGGAAGAGTTTGTGTTTTAATTGGGGGGGGACACGGGGGGGCGGCGGGGGAATTGGGGAGCTCACAATGACTACAAGGAAGAAGAAAATTTTCTGAAGTCGATTTTGATGATATTGTACAACTCTTCTTAATCTGATTCAACTCTTGAATTATATATGTAAATTATATGCCAATAAAACAATTTTTATTAAGTTGCTTTTTTTTTTTAAGTTGGTGTTTGGACCCCTGAATTGTGGTAACTTATAAATATGTAAATGAAAAGGGCAGTGATATAGTTAGTTGTGCCAACCTGGCCGATAAGCACATGTGGGGTTAATTGAAGGGCAGCCGGATAAATGGCTCAGTGAGCCTCACCTTTCTAGTTCTTGTGTCTCTTGCTTTCTGATGGTCGGATCAGGGTGCAGCTGCCTTAGCCAGTTCCCTGCTTCAGCTGGCAAGGCTGACTTCCTGCAAGACATCCCTGAGGAGAAGCCACATGGACCTACCCTGATGCAACCCTGAGTGCTGGAGCAGCCGTGTGGAGACCCCTGTCAGCACTGAGATGCTTACACATTCACTAATTTAGCTTTCCTTCTGCAGTCGGCATCATTGCATCTGTTTTGTTAGCTGGTGGAGGACTTTGTGGATTGGTGTCAGACATATGGGTTAATGGGTTAATGTTGGACTGTGGGCTTGGGCAACACTGGGTTGGGATGTTTTCTTGATGTGCACTTAGCCCTTATATAAAACTCTCTCTTATACATGAGTTTCTGTGGATTTGTTTCTCTAAAGTACCCAGACTAATACAGGCAGTTAAAGCTGGCCCCAGTGAGACCTTGCCTTGTTCTGGGTCCCAGTACACTAGCGGTTCTCAACCTGTGGGTCACGACCCCTTTGGCGGTTGAACAACCCTTTCACAGGTGTCGCCTGACTCCTAATAGTAGCAAAATTACAGTTATGAAGTGGCAATGAAAATAATGTTGTGGTTGGGGGCGGTCACCACAACATGAGGAATGGTATTAAAGGGTCGTGGCATCAGGACGGTGGAGAACCACTGCTCTAGACCCATGCTGTCCCCTGTTCATTCTCTGACCTCCTCATAGATCTATACTCTGCCCCCTTTGCCCTTTCTCTTCTCAATTCTAAGGACACGTAGTCTGACAGCCATGACCTACAGCAGCTGCCTTCTCAGTGCTCTGAGATTTGCCCAGACCTCAACATCGGGCATGAGAGTCCAGTTCCTTCCTGATTTGGTTGGCGTGATGGGTTGCAGGAGCGTAGATTCTAAAATGGCATGTTGAGAATCTAAAGCCAGCTATTCCATGAGCGGATCCTACTAGTTCGAAGTTGGACTGTTCTTTTTTCCACTTGTTTTTCTGTAGGGATTGGACATTTCATTATCATTATCGTGTGCATGTGCTGCTGTGGTTCTGTGCTCACTGCGCAGTGCCTCGCTATCAAAGGCCTCTGAGAGCCTGCTGTGCGCCACGCCGACGCCAAGGGCTCGCTGCTGATTCTCATTATAACCTTTCAAGGTGAATGTTTTCATCACCAGATGGAGAAACCAAGGCTCGAAGCCATCATTTCGTTGGTAGGTTGTGCAATGTGGAGTCAAGCTTTGCCCTGTCTCCTCCAAAGCTTCCAGAGATAGTCTGAGATATAACAATGGCCAGCGGGCACAGTAAACAGAAACGGAGGCATTTTTCACATTGAATATGTGTTATATGAACTTCAAATACTCTAAGGGGAATTTTACCTCATGGGGATGAGTCACTGTCCGTTTCCTTTTTAAAAATTTTATATAGAACCCTCTTTTGTTTTTAAAATGTCTTCTTCTTTTTTTATTAATATAGATCATATCGTTCCATAGTTCAATCGTGTCAAGCAGAATTGTACAATTGCTACCTCAATCAGATCCTGCTTGAAATCCAGACTATACATAAAACAATATGGTCCATAAATAAATTCATAAAAGGGCAACTCGGCACATGCCCTGACACAAAGACTTGAGATTTGTTGGCTTTTTTTTTTAAAGCATGACACTGTTTTCTGAATCCAAACAATGATAAATCGTTGGTGCCCATGGCTGATCATGGAGCCCTGATGATGTAGTGATTATGCATTGGGCTGTCATCTGCATGGTCAGCAGTTCGAAACCACTAGCAGCTCTGAGGGAGAAAGACTGGGCTTTCTACTCAAGTAAACAGCTACCGTCTTGGAAACCCACAGCAGGGTTGCTCTGAGTCAGCACTGACTCAATTGCAGATAATTTGGTTTGTTTTTATGGCTAATCATAGAGTCCAGGATTGTTGGTCAGTCAGTGAGCCTTGTAATCCAACCTCTTAGGACAAGAAAGACTTTGAGTGACTATAAGCCCTGCATTATGTGATAGCCCCACAAAAGAGGATGACTCATGGAGGGAGGCTGAAGTCAAAGAACTAATTAGAGACTTAAAGTCCCTCTGACCGCTTCAGAATGCCACTGAAATATATCCAGCAATAACTTTGGCATATCACCTTAACCCTAAATTGTCTCCTTCCTCCAAAATAGCTTTGTGGCTTTTACCTAGATGAGGGCAGCCAAAACTGCATATTGAGGGCAAGGACTATTGATTGTGATTTAAAGATGGATATGTAAGTCTGGGAAACTTGGAATTTGGGGTTCAAAGCCCAGATTCTCGACTATATTTAGTCATTTATAAAGCTAGGTATCAGTTTTCTTAGAAAGGGCTTGCAGAGGCCTGAGTGTGACGGGGTGGAGGGAGTCTGTGAGCTACTGGTTGGCAGGGAAAGGAGAAGTCACTCCATGGGGCTTCATCCAAGACAATGACAGGGCATCGGAACACCTGCTACTCGTCAGATGTGAACCCAGACACAAAGTCCCCAGCGTGAGGGCTCTTTACCACTCCTGGGACTTGAAGGGTAACTGATGCTTCCCAAGGAAGACGGATTCAGGCCAAAGGCTTCTCCTCCACACCCTCCTAGTTCAAATTTCCCAGAGAGACAATCAAAGACCAAATCACAGAGCAGCACACTGGGTGGTGCAGGTGCTCAACCCCCCACATCCTAGAGGCTGAAATTCGCCCTCTCTACCACACAAAACCCTGCCAGGCTGGCTCTGAGAGATATATGGACTTCGGTGGGCTGATCTGGCTTCCCCTGTGGGCCAAAGGATGGGGCCAAGGGATGTGGCAGGTGGGGTAGGGCAGGGGCGGACCTGGGGGGTCTTACTGTGGTCATTGTTGAGCGCATCCTCGATGAAGGCCGCTGCCGGGTAGAAGAAGACACTGAGGTCAAACGTGGGTAAATCTTCAGCCTCGACGCCGAGGTACTTGATGGCCATGTCGCGGTAGTAGTCGGCCCCCGTGTCCACGTTCCAGCGGCCGTGAGCTGCATTCAGCACGTGTGTGAAGCCCACTTTCTGCAGCTGGTACCGGTCCAGGGCAGTCGCCCTGCGAACAAGGGAGAAGAGGAGTGGGCTGTGAGCCTGCAGTTGCAGCTGCAGGGAAAGAAGGGTGGTCCATGAACCACCCACAGGCTCCTCTCGCCTTCCGGTTTCCAAATCAAAAAGATGAGTCATTACAAATGGCGAAGAAAGCTGATGGTGCCCAGCTATCAAAAAGTATAGCATCTGGGGTCTTAAAGGCTTCAAGGTAATCAAGTGGCCATCAAGCTCAGAAGCAACAAAGCTCACATGGAAGAAGTACACCAGCCTGTGCAACCACGAGGTGTCGAAGGGGTCAGGTGTAAGGCATCATCAGAACAAAAAATCTTACCATAGTGAATGATGGGGGGAGTGCGGAGTGGAGACCCAAAGCCCATTAGTAGGCCACTGGAGATCCCCTTGCAGAGGGGTCTCGGGGAGGAGATGAGCCAGTCAGGGTGTGATGTAACAATGATGAAAAATACAACTTTCCTCTAGTTCCTAAATGTTTCCTCCCCGCTCCCACTACCATGACTAGAATTCGACCTTGCAAGTCTGGCTAGACCAGAGGATGTACACTGGTACAGATAGGAACTGGAAACACAGGGAATCCAGGGCAGATGAGCCCTACAGGACCAGTGGTGAGCCCTACAGGACCAGTGGTGTTAGTGGCGATACTGGGAGGGTGGAGGGAGAGTGGGTAGGAAGGAGGGAACTGATTACAAGGGACTATATGTGACCTCCTCCCTGGGGGACAGACAACAGAAAAGTCGGTGAGAGGAGACGTCGGACAGGGCAAGATATGACAAAATACCAATTTATAAACTATCAAGGTCTCATGAGGGAGCGGGGAGTGGGGAGGGAGGGGAAAAATGAGGACCTAATATCGGGGGGTTTAAGTGGAGAGAAAATGTTTTGAGAATGAAGTACAAATGCGCTTTACACAATTGATGTGTGTATGGATTGTGATAAGAGTTGTATGAGCCCCTAATAAAATGTTTAAAACAATCAAAAAACAAATGGAGGGCTTCTTTCAGAGCCATCTCTGTCCCTGGAGCTTGAGCAGAGAGAGGCTCAAAGGGCTAGAGGCTGGGACAGGTGAGCTTTTCCCCGGCCCATTTGCCTTTCATCACTCACGTTAGGCCCTGTGGATCAGATATGAGCTGTCCCTGACCGAGTCCCTCCAAAGCCAGGAGAACTCACTGCCACCAAGCCGATTCCTACTCCTAGTGACCTTGCAGGGCCGTGTAAACCACCTCCTGTCCTTTCCTCCGAGTGGTCGGTGGTTTCAAACTGCTGACCTTGTGCTTAGCAGCCCGACACGAAGCAGCAGCTAACCCGAAGAACCTGTTAATCGGGTGGAGCTGTTGTAGCACCTACTGTCCCCTGAGAGGCCACGCAAGAGCTTCCCCTATGGCCACAGCTCCTCCCTCCAAGTTCTCCGGGCACGGAAAGGACTTGCAGTTGGGCCTCCAATGGATACCGTAAGGGGGCTCTTTCAGTGCAGGAATTTGGGGTTGGACCAAGTTCTTGATGCTGATTTTGTTGGGATTTGTGGGCCACCAGGCACACACAATTTCTGGATACGTTAAGTCCTAACTGATTTGGGGAAAGTTCCTAAAGGCAATAATATAGCTATTTAGTGTCCACAGGCTTAATTTTCAAGGTACAAATATCCAGGACCAAAAAGAGCAAGGTCATGTTGAGCTCTCTCACTTACTGCCACTGACTCACCGTGATCCCCTGTGGAGTCCTGAGACTAACTTTTTATGGGAGTAGAAAGCCCTGTCTTTCTCCCGAAGTTAAGACAGGCAACCTTAAAAGGCAGCATACTTGAGTGAAATGTCAGTCAAAAAATGACACATATTACATGATTCTGTCTGGCCAGATCAACATCAGGCTGGCTCCTAGTAGCAAGTGACCTTGAATCTCCCCCACCCGTGCGTGTGGAGCTGACCAGAGCTGGCTAATGTAACCTGTCAGCAGCTTTGCAAGTCATTCCCCCCCACCCCCACACCCTGTTTTACTCACAGCCACCTTCCACCTGCACCTTTCACACGGGCCGTTTTGCTCATGGCCCACCCTGCACCCTGCACGATTACACCCGGAACCAGGAAGACACTTTACATTCCAGAAACCCAGACATGCCTGTATCTCCCAATCCCTGAGTACTTTACCTTATATGGACTCAGAGCAGCCCAGTCACGTGTTCCCTGGCCATATAAGCACCACCCCTGTAGCCTGGGGCACGACTCCCTCTGCCGGACACTGTGGACTGTGGGACTTCGCCCAGGCTGGATTTTTCTCCCTAATAAAAGCCTGTTTGCTTAAATTCGACTGATTTAGTTGCTAACACCTCTTGACCACCTTACAGATTCCACTTATATGCAATATCTAGAAAAAGCACATATATAGAAATAAAAATTTACTAGTGATTATCAGGACACAACATATAAGGGATGCTGTCCTTCTGGTAAGGGTGATGAAAAAATTTGGGAATACCTAATGGGTGTTATGAATTTAGTTGCATTCCCCAAATACAGGTCAACTTGGCTAGGCCATGAGTCTCAGTATCAAGTACATTTTCTTCTTTTTATGATCTGATGTAATTATCCTCTATGTTGTAAATCCTTATCTCAATGATATTAAGGAGTCAGGATTAGAGAGTTATGTTAATGAGGCATGATGCACTCTATAGGATTAGATTGTATCGTGAATGACCTCTTCTGGATTTGAAAATGACTAAACAAGCAAACAGAGATCAGAGGGACCTTGTTACAGAGGCAGAAGAACTGGGAGGAGACCCGAGGTCCTTTGAACGCAGGATTCCTGAGCCGAGAAGCTCCTACATACAAGGAAAGATTGAGACCAAGACACGGAGATCGCTAAGAACACTGGGCTGGCACCCTTTATTTGGACTTGTAGCCTACTAAATTCTAAGGAAATAAATTTTTGTTTGTTAAATTCATCCATTTATGGTATTTCTGCTGTAGCAACACTTAGACACTAAGTATTTCTGCTATAGCAACACTAAGACACTTGTGATGATTATGTTACTGGCCAGTAGATGTGAGGATTGCTGAAATGGTACATGTTCTGTTAACTATATATTTTGTACAATTAAAAAACATCTTTCAATTTTAAAAAGGCAACATGATGATGGTCTGTTCACCAAATAGTGCTGAGGAAGCTGGATATTCATATATTTATGTCGTGTACAAAAATGAACTCAAAATGAATAGAAGATATGAATCTGAGACCTAAAATTATACATTTCTTAGAAGAAAACAAACAAGCTTCATGATCTTGTGACAATGGATTCTCTAAGAGGATGTCCAAAGCATAGAAATAACATAAAACACACATAAATCAAACTTCCTCAAAATTAAAAAATTTCATATATCAGAAGGATAACTATCAAGAGTGAAATGACATTGCACAGAATGGGAGAAAATATTTGTGGATCATGCATCTGATAAGAGATTAATAGCCAGGATATATAAAGAACTCTTACAATGGGAGAAAATATTTGTGGATCATGCATCTGATGAGATTAATAGCCAGCATATATAAAGAACTCTTACAACTTAACAATAAAGAGCAATCTTTTAAACTTAGCAAAAAACTTGAACAGACATATCTAAGAAAAGATATACAAATAGCCAATAAGTACATGAAAATATATTTAACATCTTTCATCATTCAGGACCTGAAAATCAAAATTAAAATGAGATAACACTTTATATTTACAATGACTATTATTTAACAGCAATAACAAAACCCAGAAAATAATAAATATTGGTAAGGATGTCAAGAAATTGGAATTCACATCCACCGTTTGTGGGAATATAAAATGGTACCGCTGCTGTGGAAAATAGTGTGAGGGTTCCTTAAAGGCTAAACATAGAATCCCACTGGGACTCCGCAAGTCTGCTCCTCAGGATGGGAAAACAGGAACTCAAGTGCGTCACCATCAGTATTCCCTGCAGCATTACCCACAATGCCAAAAGGTGGAACTGACCCAAACAGCATCACCAGATGTAAGGGTAAATCCACAAGGTACATATATACAGTGCCTTAGAGCAAGAAAACTAAGCAGGAGGCTTGCTGGCAGGGTGAAGTGCCTCCTGTCACTTGACAGAGCTAGTCTAGCCAACCCTCAGAGCTAGACAGCTGAGTGTCTTGAGCTTACTGGTGGAGCAGGATGCAGCTCAGCACTTCTTGGGAGAGCTAGCAAGCTTTGTACCATTGCTGAGCAGGGCAGAGGCCAAGGCCTGAGAGGTTGAGGGTCTAGAAGCTGAAGATCAGAGAGGTCTCCCTGTGGTAGTTATATGATCTGGTGTCAATTTGAGGATTCAGAGTGAAGGGGTGAAATCTCGCCTGTCAATCAGGTCCTAGCTTGATGACCTCATTTGGAGGTGCTAAGAAGATAAGTAGCTCATTGGAGGCAGGAAACATGCTCACTCCCTGTGAGACATCCCTGTGGAGAAGACACATGGAGAGAGGCTGATGGAGCCAGACCTCTGGAGAGGAGAAGCCACGTGGAGATGTGATAGTTAGCCTGAGTGGAACAATCTTGTAGCAGTCTCCATTTTGTATCAAGCTAAGGAAATTCCCCGGAGGTTAAGGTCAAGCAAACATTTGCCAGAAAATAGCAGCTGCAAGATAAGGCCACACATCTATCTCGAAGAAGAAAAAAAGTTTTAGTGTCAAGGCTAACTGCAAGGTCTGCTTCTGTTCTTGCTTACTTGCTTGCATAGCTGCAAAGCCCCCATTGTTTACCCCATCCTATAAAAACCCAAGTCTGGAAGTGATGGGGCCAGTCACTCTCCCTCTCCTCAGAGGGCTGGTCCCTGCGCAGATTCTTTTTCTCTTTTCTGTCCCCCTTTAATAAACTGTTTTGCTTCTTACCAGAGACTGAGTTGTTCTTGTCCGGTTCATGTACAACAGAGAGCCCTGCCAGCGCTGAGAGGCTTACAATGCCACTGGATCCACAAGACTTCCCACCCACTGGTCTGTGATTTTCCT